AGGTTTGATTCCCCACTCCTCCACTTGCACCTGCTGATGTGACCTTGGGTCAGTCACAAGCTCTGGCACAGCTGTCCTTGAAAAAGAGCAGTTTCTGTCAAGAGCTCTCTCAGCCCCACCCACCTCACAGGGTGTCTGTTGTGGGGAGGGCGGGGGAAAGGAGTTTGTAAGCCGCTCTGAGACTCCTTCGGGTAGTGAAGGGCGGGGTATAAATCCGATCTCTTCTTCTTCTTTTTCTTCTCCAAACCACTCAGTCCCTCATGGGGAACCATTGTTGCCAATCTCCAGGTGAGGGCTGGAGACCACTCAAAATTACAATTGCTCTGCAGAAGGGAGGGCGGAAGTCAGCTGAAGTCAAAGGGGCAGATAATGGTAGGTTGATGGTTAGCTGGGAAGGAGATGGGGTTGCCAACTCCAGGCTGGCAAATTCCTGGGGATTTGAGGGGTGGAGCCTGGAGAGGGTGGGGTTTGCGGAGGGGTGGGACATCAGACAGGTAGAATGCCATAGACTCCACCCTCCAAACCAGCCATTTCGTCCTGGGTAACAATTGTTGCCAATTTCCAGGTGAGGGCTACAGATCACTCAAAATTACAACTGCTCTTCAGGGAGCAGAGATCAGTTCCTCTGGAGAAAACAGTGGACTCTGTCATTATACCCTGCTGAGGTCACCACAGCAAATTGACACTGTTTGCCCAAAGCCAGAGCACTCCCCCAGAGCCTCTTTCTAGATCCCGTTGTATTTATTTCCACAACGGGCTTTACTGCTAGTTAAACAATAATCTCCCACGTTGCTTTCAGTACTCTGTGTTCCAACTTCCAAGTTTTTTTCTCCATGTTTACTATAAGGTTAAGGCACTATACCACAATGATATTAACCACTGTATCCCATATAGAAGTAAGCATCACAATGTCAATATTTACATTTCCCCATACCAATCGGAAACAACTTAATTCCAACTACCAGGATATCAAACCTTTATTAACCTGTAGAAAACTTCAATCACAGCTAAAACCAAACCTGAAAATTCAAGGATTTTATTTGCTTGTGGAAGTGAACTATTCTGTTAACATACTTAAAACTTTACAGTTTATAGAACATATGTGTAGAAAGAGACTCATTTTTCATTAAAATCTTTACATTAAATCAGCTGAAATTCTTTCAGGATATATTAATTGTAAGTGTATTAAATACATATAGATGCCATAATCATAATATCTTCAGCCTGTAAGATAGATCAAGAATGCTAACTAAAGCACAGAATGTTTTGTAAACAAGCCTAAACTTGTGCACAAAGAAACAGAAATGTAATTACGTTCCTTTGAAAATCTGGTCACAAGTAACATGCTGAGTATCAAGGCTGTCTGTCACCTTATAGATCTGTAGTTCAGCATGAGAAATCAAAGGGGGTCCCTTGCATTTGCTTTTCCTTCCAGTTTAAGAATGCTGAATATTGTGCCTCCACCAATCTGTGCCAAAAATGTTCATGTGCCAGGTGTAATAAATGGAAATTTTCTAACTGATCAGTGGTCATCCCCTTCTTAAATACATAGTAAAACTTATTTATGTCTGTGATTTGCCCTGTACATACAATATTATCTGCAGACGATACCATGTGCACAGAGGTGGAGAGGGAATGAGTATTGGCCACAGGGATTTTTCACTTGGATATATCTGGTCAGAATATATACTCGGGTATATTCAGATATCTGTACCAGCATTTGGGATTCTTGGGAATACTGGTATCCAGGTCCCATAGATTTCCTGAAATATTCAGGAATGCCCGGGGCCAGATTTCCAGGGATGTTTTTTCCTCCTGCAAATAGGATGGCTGGGGGCATGTTCTTCAGGTGCCCACAGAATTGGACCCCTTGGTCTATACAAGGCTATTGTGCTCTGCATTTCCTGGCTTCCAACAATGAGCAATGCTGAATAGTGGTGCAAAATTATAGCATGACAACATCAGGACATGGGTACATTTTACTTCAAATTATAAGGAGGGGAGGCAGCTTCATGTTTTTCTAAATGTCTTGCTCTAAGGGTCCAGTTTCACAGCATTATCTTACAGCACAGGATTACTTTTAGAAATATTCTTGTGTATAGACATGAAAACATTTTCCAGAAGCATGTAATGCATGTTCAAAATTTATCCTGTGAACAGTATCTTATAAGGCTTTCTGTTCATGAGAACATCTTTGTTAGGCTGCACAGACTACCCATTTTAAGGCAACATTTTCACATACATGCATAGTGGAAATAAATCCAGAACGTATCCCATGAATGCAAACTGTCTAGTCACAAATAATTGCAAGCTAAACACAGGAATAATAAGAGAGAAAAATGGTGAAAAGTGAATGGCAAATGCAGCACAAAACAGGAAAAGTGAACTGAGTTTTCTTCTAAAATATGTGTCCTGCTAACTTTCTAAGACAAGAAGTCTGAACAGGATTACTGGAACCACTGTCTCTTTATTTGCCAATGAACCTTAGATTTCTGGGAAGGTATTTTATTCAGCAGTATGACGGGTTCTTGGCAATTCTGCTGAAAAGGCACTGCCTTACCAGAACTGTTATAAATTGGTAATTAAGACGGTTTAGCAAGAAACTATACATATGAGACAAAAAGATACAGTGCACTACTCTAAATTATTGTTCACTCAGATTTTGACAGACTGCCCACAAGCCTCATATAACAAGTACAAACCAAGATCCTGAGCTGGCTTTCAGAGACAGAAGATGAAGTGGCAAACCTGTGTCTGGACCACACCCCCTTTGACTGCAGAGGGACTGCGATTAAAAGCTCCTCTAAACAAAACAATTCACTTCACAAGGAAAATTAACATTTCAGGGAGAAGGCAAGTTTAGAACCCTTCACCCTGACACCTAATTTACTACGCACTTTTTTTTGTATGGAGGAACACTTAGTCATATGAGCCTAAAATGTTACAATCCAGATAGTGACTTATCATTTCCTCTTCTTCTTGTGTGAACTGGGTCCCTGCCTCCAGGCTGTAATTATCTACTCTAGTCATTTGCGAAATGTGTTCTGAAGACCCCCAGGGGTCTTCTGCACACTTATCAGATGTCCCTCAGCGGGATGCTCAGTAAACATCACTTAGTTACCACTATTGCTGACTTTCCTTTGCTATGTGCAGCCACACAAACTTGTACTAGGATGGATTCTCAGTCTTCTCAGGGCAACCATGAACTCCAACAGACCTAGTCAGCAGTCCACACAAACTGACTATGCACCTAGAATATTCCCTAGGGCAGGGGTCTCCAACCTCTTTGAGCCTGTGGGCATCTTTAGAATTTTGACACAAGGTGGGTGCACAATCACAAAAAAGCTGCCACAATAGGTGCAGCCAGTCACAAAATGGCTGCTGCAAGAGGCACAGCCAACCACAAAATGTCAAAGATCAAGGTTATATACAACTCTAATAGTACCTCCTCAACATTTCAGGAACAAGCTCTGTTTAACAGAATGCCTTTTAATCTACACAGCCAATCAGAAGTCCTGGTGGGCAAAAGCCCCATTTAGCCCTGCCTACTTTCTAAAAGCACTTGGCAGGCACCAGGAAAGGTGTTGGCAGATACTGTGGCACCCATGGATACCGTGCTGGGGACCCCTGCTCTAGGATTTTCTACAACATGGAGACATTCTTCACTAGGCAAATCTATGCAGAAACAATTCCATAAAGGCAGAAAGTTTAAAAGCAAAATGTGAAGACAATATAATTTAGGGTGGATTCCTAAAGTCAAGATTGCTTTTACTACTCCTGGTGAGAATGTAACATACCTTTAAATATGTTTGAATAATATTTTTAGTGTAATAGCTATTCCTTCAAGATTATTTTAATAAAATAGGGGAACAGCTCATACCTGATCAACATGAAGTAGTCCACAGTGCATTATATTGTAGAAATGAGTTAAAAAGTCCCTGTTTGGGGAAACATCTTGTCTTCGCTTCATCGTATTACAAATGAGCTTATAAGCGTGTAATTTGCCTTGTTTGTATTTATCACTCAACATGGTTGCCTAACATTAAACAAACAAACAAACAAAAAAAGTAAAACCAGAATATTTCAAACATTATCACAACTTTTTTTCTTTTCTTATTGATTGGTCTATGCTGTATTTACCTTGAAAAGCCATGGAGTAAGAATTCTCAATGGAGGAATCAAAATAGGTGGAGAAGGAGACGTCATGTTATCAGCTGAAATGCCAAGATTATCTCTAATCTGGAATTATTTAGAAACACAACAGAAATGTGTACTGAGGTGGATCTACACTCTTGTTTTTACATCATAATTACAGTCTTTCATAGATGGAAAACAAGAACATTTAACTTTTCAAATACCTTAGCGAGATTCTGCCAGAGTTCACAAAGATAATCAAAAACTTGGGCATGTATTTCAGGATCCATAATGGAATTGACATCTCCTAAAATGCCTAGCATTCGCCTCCACATTACAGTAGCGACATCTGCGTGCCATCCAGTCAGGGTTCCTCCTGCCATCACACTACAACATTCAGATGGAAAATCACTAGTTTCTGTAATAAGAGAAAAACAAATCATCAAGGCCAATGTCTCTTTAAAACAAAAAGTTTAAATGGAAGTACTGTTGCTACCTTAAAATGTAAATCCATGTAAATATCTGATATAGATATGAGATTTGCATAATGCTGAACCAACAGACCACAAATCAAGGCAGAAATTTACTCTCAGTGTTCTTTTAAGAGTTTTCCTGCCCAAAGCTTTCCACAAATAGCCCGAGTACTTTTAAAAATCCCTCCTAAATTCAAGACTCACTGTCTGGAATTGGGAAGAGAACCATTTAAGGATGAATTGGGGGGGGGGGGAGATGGGTGTTCAAATGCAGATGTAGCAATTCCCCTTTTAGCAAGCACTGAAGCTCCAAAAAAAGTTGTAGATGTTGAGGGAATTTACAGAACAGAGTTGGATTTCTATGGGGCATTTGTGTATGGGAACTCAGAGACATTCAGGAGAGCAAGTGAAATGTATTGTGCTCCTAGCCTCAAACACAGATATTGTATAATAAATGTATTTATCATTCCGAAAAAAGCTCCAGCACCTCATAAGCCTAAAACTATTGGTAGATTGGGGATGCACAACTGAAGAGTGTAAACCACTGTTATTTGCTAACTGTTCTTTTATATTCGTTTCCAATTACTGATTCATTTATATCCTACCATTTGAAAGCAAGAATTAACAGACAGTGCCCATCACTTGAAATCATGCAGTCATTGGTCTATTGGGTAAATATGGTACATTACATATAAGTTCAACTGAAGTGGCGAAAAAATGCTACTTTTAAACATGCTAATAAAGTGGCGAAAAATGCTAATTTTAAGCTGGGCTGAGGCAAGGAGTGGAGAGCACTTGGTGAGCTGCTGTTAGAAGGTACGAGATTTTGTCTTTCTCCCTTTGCTTTCCTAGCTGCTGTGTGGGAAGCTGAGAGTGAGTTGGGATCTTGTAGCCTGATAGAGAGAGGTTCTGCTTAAGTCTGTTTGGGGCTGTTTATGTTTTGTGGGAGACTGAGTGAGTTGCTGTGGAGTGCTGTTGATTGCAGGCCCCGTCCCCTACTGTGCTGGGCAGGAAGGGGCCTTCTGAGATAAAAGGCTGCTCCTCACCAGAGGCGCGAGTCAAAGGGCTCTTGGCCTGTGGGTCTTGCTTGGAGGTCTTGTGTAGAGTAGAGGGATGCTACTGAGTTCTGGAGAGGGAACTGCTGGCAAGGTAGCCATTTGGTCAGTCTCAAAGTTTTCAGGGTACATCGCCACAACAAGAGTTTATGTCGGACTTTGAGGGAAGTTCCTGAGGCTGTAGAAGATAGATTTGCTCCTAGGGAGATGGATAATGAAGGATCTATTCCAGTGACGTGCCAGGGTTGCACCATGATCATTTTTCTGCCTTGCCAGGAAATGCATTATACATGCTACAAGTGCAAGCTTATAACAACGCTTGAGGAGAAGGTGGGAGAACTCGAGGCACAAATCTGCACATTGAGGAACATCAGGGAGGGAGAAAGGTTTTTAGACGTGAAGGAAGAGGGGCACCTGAGAGAACGGCAAGAGCTAGCAAATCCTAAGCAAGAGGAAGGAAGTAACAAGGAACAGGTGGGTGAGTGGAAGAATGTGACCTTGAGGAGTAAGATAATCAGGAAACACTCACAGCCAGTGGAGCTGCAAAATCGCTACCAGCCGCTTCTGATGGTGGAAGATCAGAATAGCATACTCGGAGATCAAAAGGATGTGACCGACAAACACATAGGCACAGAAGGAACCAAGCTATCCTATGGAGGAAGAGACGAGTAGTGGTGGTTGGTGACTCCCTACTGAGAGGGACGGAAGAAGTTGTGTGCAGAACAGACAAGGAATCTTGAGAGGTTTGTTGTCTTCCTGGAGTGTGTATCCGAGATGTGACTGAGAGAATTCCAAGACTGGTCAAAACCTCTGATCGCTACCCACTCCTGCTGATCCATATGGGAACAAACGATATGGCCCAAAGAAACCTTGAATGGATCTCCAACAACTACGAGGCTCTGGGCAAGAAGGTGAGAGATCTGGGGGCACAGGTGGTGTTCTCCTCCATTTTACCTGTTGAGTGCCATGGAGCGAAAAGGGAGAACAGGATATTGGAGGTGAATGGCTGGTTACGTAGATGGTGCAGTAAAGAGGGATTTGGCTTCCTGGACTATGGT